GCGGTACGGGACCCCCCAAACCGGCGGGTCAAAATAAATTGTGAATCGGGATCGAACCGCGACCCTAGGAGGCCGGTTCAGGGCCGATTTGGACCGGGCCGAGACCGGTTTACGAGTTGGTTCGGCCCGTAAACATGTCCAACTTTCTACGTTCTTTAAACCTAAAAAATTGATATTAAAAAGTATGGAGGTGGATTAATATATTCAAGTATCATTTTATTTTATTTTACTATAATTATTGATTGCGGTCCGATACACATATACTTTGTAACATTTAGAGTTGGATGTGACAAGGATTCAATATTACAGAACGTTTGCGACTAATTAGTGTTCGTTTGATTATCAAGTAAGTTTAATTTTTTGTTCAAATTCTACTCGATCCATTAACAAACAAGCAAGTTTTTGTCGAATATGTATGAACATCAACTTGTTTTATTCACGAACGTAGGGTTCGTTAACAATCGTACGCCCATAACCAAAAATTCCCATGTATTCAGCTGGTCAAGTTCTAGAAATGTACATAATGCATGAAAGTGAAGATATATGTGAAATTGTATGTTAATTATTAGGGGAGCTTAAAATGCACGAAGGTAAAGATAAATGTGAAGTTATATCATAGTTATTAGGAAGCTTAAATGGTATTTTTATATCTGTAAATATTAAATACCATAGAATTTTTTTTTTCTTTGGTACAAATATCACAGCAATTTAAGTCAACTAAAGAAAAAAAAGTCAAACAATAAAATTTGTAATTTCCTCTTTCATTGTTCTAATATGCTCGAGTATTATTTAAAAATATTTTTTTTTAAAAAAAAAAAAAATTTGGACAAGGAGTTGGTCTTAAATGTAAAACTGGATTTATTAAAAAGAAATATTATGAAACAAAAATAAACTGGAATATTTAGTGATTTCTTATAGCATGAAATATGAAAATAATAGAGTAACAATTACAGTGTTGTGATAAAATATAAATAGTAATCGTTAGTTATAAATACGTAAGTGGAGGTACAAAAAAAATTGTAGAAAAATGAATACTTTTATTAGCTTTTAATTTAAAAATTCTATTGGAAATTTTGAATTTAATAAAAAATGAATCAAACTTTCCCTAATAAATATCCAATTAAACACCACTTTTGGGGCCATATATATATCATGCATGACAGACTCCAAATAACCGTTAAAAGTAACGGGAAAGCTGTCTCCCATCTGCCAACACACAAGAAACGTTAAGATGTTAAGATAAACCCTCGCTTGACCATAGTACATGCTTTGGCTGTTTGGCATCGCATAAGAACCAATACTACTCGGGCACTTGTCCGTTATATAACTAGAGTTGTCCGTTATACCTGAGACAGCCTTATTCACACAGATCGATCATTATCCATTTATCTTGCATTTTTTAATATGCCAAGCCAATGTACGTAGTCTTTTGATTAAGCTTTGACTTATTTGACTGATTAATTCCACTACAAAATAAGCAAATTATGCCTGTGTGCGCATTTTGTTTGGCTAATCTTCTTTTGAAGCATACAAAAGTTCTCAAAAATGTGCATGGATTTGCTTAAAGTGTTTTTATTGTCATTATTAATTTATTATAGCTTTGCAGTGAAAAATTTTCTCTGTGTATCACTGTTTAATGGATAATAGCTCAAAAAAATAATAATAATAATAATAATAAAATAAAATATTAACAGCTCCAAAGAAAAAAAGAAACTTGCAAAACAACTCACATAACAGACCGATCATCATAGTTCAATCAAACATCAGCAGTAGCAGCATAAACACTAGAGGCATAATATCCAAAAATCCATCACCATAATCAAAAGGATAATAACTGATCAAAACCAAACATATCATTACTCAACTAAAATAGAACAGCTGCTTAAAACTCTAGTTGATAATCACCTCAATCACAGCCCCATCGCTCTTCTTCTTCTTCTTTGGAATCTCCAGCTCAAGAACCCCATCTTCCCCCATCACAGCCTTGATCTCCTCAAGCTTGCACTTGTGTATGGGCAGCTCAACGATGTACCTCTCAACAATCCGATCGCTGCCTGCCTCCTTGGCATCCACCAGCAGCACCGAGCCCTCCACCCTCACCTCCACGTCCTCCTTCGCCGCCCCATGCATCGGCATCTTCATGTGAACGCTCTCGGCCGTGTTCTTCGTCTTGACGACGGTGCCCTCATTCCCGCAGTTGTCGTAGCCCGGGTCAATTTTGTCCTCGTTTGTGTCCCAATTCTCTGCACATCCACGGATCCAGAGGAATCGCACATAAAAACACAAGATCTATACGAAATTTAAGCTTAAAAAACAGATCTGAGGAGCTTCATCGTGAAGATTTAAACAACAGAAAACGCGAAACTAAGGAGAAAATAGGAGACGCGCAGCGGCGCAGGCATGGATCTGAAGGGACTAGGGAGTAAGTAAATACCAGAAATCGAGGAAGTGTGCTTCATGCCATCCAAGGTGTACTGCTGAAGGGCTTCGGTTTTGAGGAGGGGACCCGACGACGGCGGGGGGCATAAGCCTGAGCGGGAGAGGAGAGCGAACTCCAGGAAGTCGGCAAGGGCTGAGACGTCCATATCTGGTTCCCGTGAAGATGAGGATGATGATGAAGTTGATGGTGCGTTTCCTCTCTCCTTTTTTCCTTGTCCTTTTCCTTTCTGATTTTTGGTTGGCATGTTGAAGACAATGATGGGTTTCTGCCTGCTGCCTTTTTTTTATAGTGAGGATGAGGTCAGGGGTAAAATGGGAAATCAGTCAAATCATGGACGCAAAAGACTTCGAGAATCTTCTCATGGAAAGGCTGACTATTGGGCCGGTTTACGGGCTTCTGTATTTATTTGCAGGATTTGGTTTATAGAAACGGGTTGATTGATCTATCCGACCCAAAACTCCAATTATTTCACTGGCGCCCAGCACAAAATTCTATATATTTACTATTTTCTCCCTTTCCCGTTATCCACAAACAGACGCAATGCACTTTCGCTTTATTTATTTTTTTGATATCTTCTAATGTAATATTTAAAAACTATATATAGTTTGTAAACAATAACATCTACCCGTCATGTTTCACGACGAGTTCTATGTCAAAAGTTGTGACTAAGGATGAAGTTGATGATATTCGGATGTTGAATGATCTTGGGTAAAGAACATAAAAAATAGAAGGAAAAAATAAGATGAAAGTAATTTGAAGTATAAAAAAACTGATTTATTAAAATAAATATTTTATTGTATCTTTCGTTCTGGTGAAGAAAATTAATTACATTAGCACTATATTATTTATTCCCTAATCTTTTCATCTTTGACATACATGAATAGTGCATTAATTGGAAGCTAGAAAAAATATTCTAATGAAATAATTAACCAGTGTTTTTCAACTTAAACCGGATCGACGGGTCGACCTGAGACTTGGTCGACGCGGAGTCAGAACCGATCCAAGTAGGCTAATTGGATCGGGCAACAAAGGACCCGATCAAAACTCGACTATCACGACATCTCTTCTACTACTGAATATTCTCATATTTTGAATATGAGTCGCATTTTTATCAAATTAACTTATTAAAATTCAAATTTATGTGTCAAAACAACACGGATAATAACATTTATACATATCAAAAAGATCCAGAAACAGTTCACAAATTTTTACACATTAGAATTCTCAAAAATTTCCCAAACAACAAAAAAAGACGTAATCCATCTACACGCCCTCAAAACATTATGGATTCAACAGCACGGTCAAGCCTTAACACTGATCATCATATATATATATATATATATATCAACATGCTTACCTACAATGCATAAACTATGTGAGTTATAGCTCAATAAGTAAAAGTCACGCATGTCATAAAATAACATCAACTAATATGCATTACAACATGAAATGTAAATGCTCGTATAGACTTATGCTTTTACAATTTATTCTCAAAAACTTTATGTCTTGGGCCCTAGACCTAACTGTTGTGCACCGAAAATAGCTCAATATAACATCAATAATCATAACATTCCAGCCCGAACTGTCTCACATGCCCGAAGCGATGTCTCACGTCTCTGGAATGGCTCAACCTGATCCGTCTCACACGGACGAAGTAAAGTCTCACGGGGCGCTAAGCAATACATAATAATAAGTCACGCTCGACTTGTCTCACATGCCCAAAGCAATGTCTCACATGGCTCGTGACCTCGGTGCACTAGCAGAGTCCAAATAACAAAACACTCTTTTCTTTTCTTAAAATGTCGTGTATGCGAGATAATATTTTATTATTACGTAATATGCATGCACATTCTAATGAAATATATGTTATGCCCAATAACTGTTGAGTCAAAATGGGTTGTTGTGCCCACTCAATTTGACAATCAGAAAAACAATAAAAAAGTTCAGCAGCCCATATGTTTTTTGCACCAGCAGTCATGTGTGGAAAATTTGCAGCACACAATTGGAAAAAAACGTGTACAACTATATTGGACAAATTGGTGCAATCATCACTATAAATAGAGGAGTTATTTGATGAATGGAACCACAACAAAAATACAACAACACAAGAAGAAAGAAAAAGAGAGTGAGCTAGAAAAAGAATTTTAGCTTTTGTGTGTATTTTGAGTTGTGAGTTGTGAATGGGTTTGCGAGTGTTTTGTAAACACGAGTGTATTTCTTTTTCTCCTAATAAAATATCTGCAGTAGTCCGGAGACGTAGGCATTATTGGCCGAACTCCGTTATCAATTTGGTGTGTCCAATTTTTTTTTTCACTTTTATTGATCCGACTTCATGGAAATTTCAGCGTATATTTCCCAACAACTGGTATTAGAGCCAGATTGTTAATTCTGTATTTTTTTGTGTGTGTTACTATTCCGTAAATAGTGAAAACGGGAATAGTGTCAAATTTGTCGGCGCTACAAATTTATCTACCGACGTGTTCTTAAACATGGTAGTTCAAAAAATTTACAGAAACGATCCGGCGGAGAAGTCAGATCAGAGTTGAAGTGATGGCTGCAGACGAAGGAAAAATGAAAATTGAAAAGTTCGATGGTGCGGACTTTGGCTTCTGGAAGATGCAGATCGAGGATTATCTGTACCAGAAGAATATGTATCAACCACTCATGGGGAAAGAAGCCAGAGGACATGAAGGAGGAAGAATGAAGTCTCCTTGACAGACAAGCCCTTGGACCCATTCGACTGACGTTATCCCGTAATGTTGCTTTTAACATTGCAAAAGAAAAGACGACAGCAGGCCTCATGAAGGCTCTTTCCAACATGTACGAGAAACCATCAGCCTCAAATAAAGTTCATTTGATGAGGCGATTGTTCAACCTGCGGATGAGCGAAGGTGCTCCGGTGGCAAATCATCTCAATGAACTCAACACAATTACAACCCAATTGAGTTCAGTTGGGATCGAGTTCGATGATGAAGTACGGGCTTTAATACTTTTGTCTTCCTTACCAGAAAGTTGGAATGCTACGATCACGGCTGTGATTAGCTCATCGGGAAGCAATAAGTTGAGATTTGATGATGTCCAAAATTTGGTTCTCAGTGAAGAGATCCGGCGGAGGGAGTCGGGTGAACCATCAACCTCTTCTGTATTGCATACAGAGTCGAGAGGAAGAAGTTCAACCAAAGAAAGCAGACATATCAAATCAAAGGGAAGAAGATCCAGGTCCAGAAATCATCGTGGTTCCCAAAACTCGAAGTCGATCGAGTGCTGGAATTGTGGGAAGACCGGGCACTACAGAAACCAGTGCAAGAGTGCACCGAAGGGTCAGGAGACAAAAGAAGAGGCAAATATTGCTTCAGTCTCAGGTGGAGACACGCTGATATGTTCTTTGGAGAACAGAGAAGAGTCTTGGGTGTTAGACTCTAGAGCATCATTTCATGCTACCTCACAGAAGGAACTATTCGAGAATTATGTTCCTGGAAACCTTGGTAAAGTTTACCTTGGTAATGAGCAATCATGTGAGGTTGTCGGCAAAGGTGCAGTAAAAATCAAGTTGAACGGGTCTGTTTGGGAATTGAAAAATGTCAGACATATTCCCGACCTGACGAAGAATTTAATCTCCGTAGGCCAGCTAGCCAGTGAAGGCTACACGACAATATTCCATGGCGATGATTGGAAGATTTCAAAGGGTGCGATGACAATTGCTCGAGGCAAAAAGAGTGGTACTCTTTACAAGACCACAAGAGCATGTCATCTGATTGCAGTTGCAGCAAATGAAAGTCCCAATCTATGGCACCAAAGACTTGGGCATATGAGTGAAAAAGGGATGAAGATCATTCACTCAAAAGGAAAATTACCAGGTCTCCAGTCAATAGAAATTGACATGTGTGAAGACTGTATACTTGCAAAACAGAAGAGAGTCAGCTTTCAGACAAGTAGAAGAACCACAAAGAAGGAGAAGCTTGAGCTCGTCCACTCCGATGTTTGGGGTCCAACGACAGTTCCATCCGTTGGTGGGAAGCAATACTTCGTGACTTTTATCGATGATCACTCCATAAAGGTATGGGTTTACTTTCTGAAACACAAGTCAGAAGTATTTGAAGCTTTCAAGATTTGGAAAGCTATGGTGGAGAATGAGACAGGCTCAAAGATCAAGAAGCTCAGATCCGACAATGGTGGTGAATACGTAACCACCAGATTCAAGAAGTTTTGCTATGAGCACGGGATCAAGATGGAGAGAATCGTGCCTGGTACACCTCAACACAATGGTGTAGCTGAGTGTATAAATCGAACGTTAACTGAAAGAGCCAGAAGCTTGCGTGTGCAGTCAGGCCTACCAAAGCAGTTCTGGGCAGAAGCAGTCAACACAGAAACTTACTTGATCAACCGAAGTCCATCGATACCATTGGATCACAAGTTACCAGAAGAGGTATGGAGCGGAAAAGAAGTAAAACTCTCGCATCTTAGAGTTTTCGGGTGTGTAGCATATGTGCACATCAGTGATCAAGGTAGAAACAAACTTGATCCAAAATCAAAGAAATGTACTTTCCTTGGCTATGGTGAAGATGAGTTTGGCTACCGTTTATGGGATGATGAAACCAAAAAGATGATCCGCAGCAGAGATGTCATCTTTAATGAAAGAGTGATGTACAAGGACCGGCATAACACAAGTGCCAGCAACTCAGAAGCGAGTGGGCCAGTTTATGCAGAGGTGGAAGATATCCCAGACATTCCTGTAATAAGAAATCCTCGGTCAGAGGAATCAAATGAAGAAAGCGGTGAGCAATTAGAACCTTATACTCCAACTCCTGTATTGAGAAGGTCCTCTCGGCCCCATGTACCTAACAGAAGATACATGGACTACATGTTGTTGAACGATGGAGGAGAACCTGAAGACTATTGGGAGGCTTGTCAAACCCCGGATGCTAGCAAGTGGGAGCTTGCCATGAAGGACGAGAAGTCCTTGATCTCAAATCAGACATGGGAACTAGTCAAGTTACCCATGGGAAAGAAAGCACTTCACAACAAATGGGTGTATCGAGTGAAGGAAGACCATGATGGTTCCAGGAGATACAAAGCTGTCAAAGGATTTCAGCAGAAAGAAGAAGTTGACTATACTGAAATCTTTGCTCCAGTTGTAAAGCTCAATACTATCAGGACTGTGTTAAGTATTGTGGCTAGTGAAGAGCTCTACCTAGAGCAATTAGACGTGAAGACTGCATTTCTTCACGGAGACCTAGATGAGGA